ACATTATGCGACAAATAAAAAATATATTGACCTCTCGAATTTTACTTTTTCATTAGTATGTTAGAAATTATTAATATCATGAATTAAAAATAATGAAGGAATACGTTGTAGATTTAATAAGATTAATAAAATGCATCAGGTCGATATATGTAAATGTAATATATTTCAGTATAATTGTTATAAAGTAATGGCTCTTGAAGCGCTTATTAACAGCATCGATTGAAAGATAAAGTTTTACAAGAATTCTTGTATTTTTCTTGCGATCTGTATATGAGTATTGAAAAACAAAACAACTTTGGGATTGATTGTAAAAATGAACCTAATATAAATGGCAAGGGTCAACGGCATGGCATACGACACACATAATGGCATAACAGCAACGATCTACAAAAAACGAACTTAAAACACAATTTTCGTGTTATAAAGAAATAAATAATAAAACCAAAAAAAATGTAGTAAAAATATATTTTACAATACTCTGTACAAGATCTTATTAGAATTATATATATATAAAACGCGCGCGCGTGTTGTAGTTAGCTGCATGTATATTAATTATCATGAAATGGTCTATTCATCCTGGAATACTGTTATTGGATTTTATTTTTTAATATTTTTTGTTATAACCGCATATGGTTGTTACGATATCAAAACATTACTTTCTTAATTACATAAACAATCTGGCTGTTCTTCTATTAATTTCTAAAATTCATTTATAATTTTAATTTTTCAAACGAGATACAAGATTACAGTATTCCACGATTAGTATTAGTACAATTTTTATTAGCGCGATGTCTGCAAAAAAGCGCCATGTCTGATATATTTCTGCAAAAAAAAAAAAAAATACCCCGATATTTTTGGAACATTCATCATCTGTGCAACTGAACACTATTTCGTTTACGAATATTAATGTTGCTCAAGGATAAAATGATTATTACGAATGATCGAAAATTTGAATTTCCGCAGAAACAAAACAGACACATAAAATATATAGAGCGAAATTTTAAACATCTTTCTTTCACTATGTCAACAACAAATATTTCAATCAAAATCTAATAATCTGCATTAACAATTCACTGCACTCCGAATAATATATTAGACAAAAATCTATAATCAGGGAGCTCAGACAAAAACAGTTCACGAGATCACGTATAGTATTTTAATGCGATTATGTGACACGTAAAAAGGGAAAATAGTAGTATTTACAAAAATCGATTATTTATGTGAAACATTGCACTAAAATTGCTTTGCATCGTATAAAATGATTTTATACCAATTAGTTACATCGTTTCAATTTCATCTAACTTATTATGACACTGAGCTCCCACAATATTAATGAAAATATATAACATAAACATTATAAACATCCTAACATGCTACTAAATTATACAAGGGCTGTTTGATTACAATGAAAAATGGAGAAAAAAGAAATCGCGAATACGTTTTATATATGCCTGGGCAAGTTAATAATCGATAGAGGTAAATGTTTAATAATAGAAATATGTTTTATATATGTCATGTAAATCATCAATATATCTTCTATATATCTCTATAAATCTATATAGATAGATATAGATATATATAAATCATTTAAACCACAATTCCATCATTTAAAATTTTTTTTCAGATTAAGCTATGTATATATATATATATATATATATATATATATATATATATATATATATAAATATATATATATATATATATATATATATATATATATATATATATATATATAGTATATATATATATATATATATATATATATATATATATATATATATAAATATATAGTATATATATATATATATATATATATATATATATATATATATATATATATACGATATATATATATATATATATATATATATATATATATATATATATATATATATTGCGTACTAAATTATTCACTATCGTGTAATCGAATACGTAGTGACAGGGTTTATCAATATTTAAATTTATTATATATAATACATGCTATATGCTATATGCTATGTACTATTTACGCTTTTATCGCAAAAATGTTGCATTCCTGTTGGAAAGTATTTTGAACGGGATTTAACGGAAAAACAATAAAATAAATTTGAAATTTGCAGTTTCGCAACTGTAGCAAGTTTTTTTTCATTTATAAATATGTAACAAAAATAGATAATAATAGATATATTATATATACAATGTAGACATGTAAAACCTAATAAAGTAATAACGCGCTTGATTACTTTCTAAATCAATCTAGAAAAGCCTTTACCGTGAAAAATACTTAATTATCTCAACATGAGCATATTTTAAAATTTTGCGTGCCTTCGTGTATTTTGCCGTTTTACAAAGTCGGCATTATTATTTATATTTTTGCTCATTCTTTCACTTTTTCTTTATATTCCACTATTTTGTTTAAAGATCCTCCATGGTAGAATGGATCTATACAAGTGATAATTTCCAAACAAATCAATCGATTATAAAATTTTCTTCCAGGATATCTTACTTTTAAACACTTTGTGTGCATGTTACTGTGTAAAAAGAGAAAAAAAAAAAATCTACGTCCTCGAATGTGAAATTACAAATTGGATGCATTTATCGAATGCATTTACAATATTCAATATAGACTCTAATTTATCATCATCTAATTGTTCTTTTCCTAATCCTTTTTTTCAATATTACTTAATATTTACTAAGCAGTATTTTTTACAGACTACACGCGATTCATTAAATATTAGCAGCTCCACTCTCAATAACAATAATATAACATACGAGTATATATAAGCTCGCTTCAGAGAAAGTTCCACGGATTATCGAATTTTTCCGTTGTGCTTATTTCAATACCGTTTCACAAGTCCAAACAATATGTAGGTCGTTGTTAATATACCAATTCCAAAAGGTATAAAATCACCAGCCGCAAGTGGATGTAACGCATCTACGAATCGTCGATGACAATCACATGTTAAGCAGCCGAAGTTGCGAATCAGCTCTAGGATGGGTGACCCTTTTCCATTACCCTAGCCTTAGAGGCCCCTAATAACAACAACCACCAAGCATCGTCTGGTGGGGTTAGTAGGGGTCGCCCGCCATCAGCCCCCACTGATGAAGTTTCTTGGTGGCGACTCCGAAATGCAACCTTGATCTTCTTGTTTGAAGATGTAAAACGAGAATCGAATGCAAAAATCATTCCACGCCCCCTTTTCCCTTTCTTTGTACTGATAACAGATTTAATTGTTCGATTGCTGGAATATGTACGTTAAAATGCGTGCGATCCTATTTAATCTCCATAAATAATGATTGTCTCGTTTTATAATCGAACAAAATGAAATTTTTTTTCTACATCGTTCTACCTGTATTGTAAGAATATAAAAATTTCTCTGTCAAAGAGATTGTTGTAAATACCGATCAGTACAATACCTAAGATCATTTAATCTATAATAGTTCAATTAAATGATATGTACGGTTATCAACAAATTGACATGTTAACAAAATCATTAATGAAGAATTAATTTAGAATTTAAAAAAGAATTTATTTAATAGCTGATTATAAACTATAAATAATAACTATTAAAAAAGGCCTGTAAAAACTCATATACCCCGTGAATGACTAGCTTAAGGTATTATGCATATATAATATATATAATCTTGCTTTGTTTTAGTATAAATGATTCAATGGCATTGCATAGTTCCTTAAAATTTCTGCAAGGTAAACTGCTTAACTATATAATATTGATTTCAGCATATCTTGATTTATTCAATTTCACTGACTGGCAAAATTATATATTGAAACATATATGACTCTGTATTTCTAAAATAATTTTTATCAAAAGTTTTAAAACAATTTATTCACTGATGGAAGTTGATCTAAAATCGTATGTTAAATAATTTTTTTTATTTACAAGATATTGAAATTCTACTAAAAAATTTTAACACAATCAGCAATGATATTTAAAGTGTTAAAAAATAAAGAAGCGTTTTTAAATTCATTTCAATTACTTAAACGTCTTCAACTGATAAAGAAATATATAAGAAACATGCAAAATTTAATTGATTTCAAAATTGTGATTTGGCCTTTTCTTATCTCTCCTTGACCCTGTACTTATTGCCATAGTTTTTCTTTTACTGCTTTCTATCAATCAATGCTAATGATAGTAAGGTACTATAGGAACGATTTATAAATTATTTACACAGATAGACAAATTGCGCATACGATTGTAGTTCAACGAAAAAAATCAATATAATCTTTTTGTGCACAGTACAAAATTTAGCAAACGAATGATTCAAAAACCGTAAATTTTTACCTCTATCAATTTGATTTACATATAAATAATTTATAATTGCGAACAATTTCTTTTTTCTGCCTTTACCACGAATATTTGTCTTATTCTAAGGAACAATTAATAATTAGAACAGTACAAATATCGGTTTCATTGAGACTAAAAAAAAGATTGATCGATATTATGTGTGCATCTTATTATCCTGTATGATAGAGCGAAAAAATGTATTTGGAAGTCATGATTCACGATATAAAAGAATTCAAACAAAAACATCTTTGAAAATTTTCAAATCGTTTTGGACGTATCTCGAAATATTAATATTACTGCACAGAGTCCATTAAAAGCTTCACAATGATTAAATAACAGTCCTTCTAAATGAGAATTATTATACTACCATAGATAGCAAAAAATTTGATTGTTCGGACAACAATGAGTCGTTTGTCGATGGGTATGCCACATAATTTACTTACAATCTATAATCCTTACGCTATGGCGTTGCTAGTGATTTTCACATCACATTGCACAATAATATATATGATACAAAAGTAATTCATTTTGTACATACTTTCACAAATGAGGATGTTTCATATTCGATGTGTTCTTGTATCGAATATTATACGACACTCTTCATTTTTTTATTTTCGCTTCTCTCAATCTCTCCCTCTCTCCCTCTCTCTCTCT